GGAGAGGAATGGCAAAAAAAAAAAATCGAATTTCGAATATTCGTTGAATTTAAAATAAAAGTCCACATTCGCCACAATTTTAGGTGTGCGTTAAGGAGGCAGCCTAATCAGTGGCGCACGAGATGCGATGACGATGTAGGTGTTATTGCATTTTAATGTTTTTGTTAGCCTATCCATTTGAAGCCACTAGATGCGGCGCTGCTGCGCTGTTAATTACAAATATTGCGGAAAAAGAGAACATCAATGCGGAGAAGATCTTGTTTACGGCAATAACATGAACAGATAATTTCTTTAAATCCTGCACACAAAATATCAAAATCTCCATCTTGGTAAGTATTCATGTAAATTACATGAATATTACAAAAAATTGTTTAAAACTTCCTTGTGCTGAGTGTAATATACTGTGCAACTAAATAAGGCTACACCATTGTAAAAACAAATACACTGACTGAACAAACATTTAGGTGAGATAATAATAAAACAGAAGTCTAAAAATGACCCTCCCCCACACACAATCCCCTCTAAAATATGGGAATTAACGGGAATTCATCGGAATAAACTGGAAATTTGCAAAATAGCAGGAACTGGGGACTTAAATGTAGTTGAGAACGATTCTTGCAGCATAATCTTGGTTAAAACAACCTGATTTAATGCAATTTCAGTTTAATTTCTACCCTACACATTGCTCAATCACATGCACACACAGCTTACTGCAGGGCTATTGAGGCCACACCCCCTACATGCACCGTGCTTTCCTCCATAACATGAACAGATAATTTCTTACATCCTGCACACAAAATATCAAAATCTCCATCTTGGTAAGTATTCATGTAAATTACATGAATATTACAAAAAATTGTTTAAAACTTCCTTGTGCTGAGTGTAATATACTGTGCAACTAAATAAGGCTACACCATTGTAAAAACAAATACACTGACTGAACAAACATTTAGGTGAGATAATAATAAAACAGAAGTCTAAAAATGACTTTATGACTTTTTTCTTGTGAAAACCTGGCAACCCTGCTGCAGCCGCGGCTTGTTCACACACAGCTTCAGCTAATGATGGCAGGGCAAAACAGACCGTTTCGAAATCGTAATTACGTGTGACCCTACCCTACTGTAGGAGCAGTGTCCAGTGTTTCCTATACATTGAGTTATTACTTCATTGAATATAAACTAACCGACTATCTTCAGAAAAGCTTCGGTGTCATTTTCATTTCGTCATTTCCTGTAATGCCTGATAAAGTAGCATTTGTGAGCGCAGTGCTAATTTGATTACAGCTGTAATATTGCGCAGTATTACTGCTATTACAATTTAAAATAATGGTTTTCTGTTTTAATTAACAATTCACTACCATTCAAAAGTTTGGAGTCAGTATCTTTTCTCTTTTTTTTTATAAATTAATACTTTTATTCAACAAGGATGTGTTAAATTAATAAAAAGTAATAGGTTAGACTTATATTGTTAGAAAATATTTCTATTTTGAATAAACACATCACATCACATCACAGAAAAAAGCATCACAGATTCCCCCCAAAAATCCAAAAATGTCATTTTTAAAATTTGTATTAGTTTGCGTGCATGTGAGCCTATGATCAAACAAAATGTTTATATTTGTGTTTGTATATGATAGTTTTATACATTTCCCCAAATTTCCAATTAATTCCCATAAATTCCTGTAAATTCCTGGTAAGTTTCAAACTTGGAATATTTCCAAAATTCCCCAGACGAAGTTCCCATGGAAAGTTTCCGGAAATTTTCCGCACCTTTGCAACCCTACACACAACACATATTTATCGCATTTTCTAGAGGGACATCTATCACCGTTACACTCTTGTCTCGCACAAGAGAGCCGCTTGTTTAGAAAAGCCATGTAAAATTAATGCAAGTTCAACTTTGAAAAAACATGTCTCAAGACTTTATGGCAGGGTTTTTTTTCCCATCCCACTGCATCTCTTTTTTTTTTATGAAAAAAAAAGTACTCTTTGAGATTGGCTTTCACCACTTTGTATTAAACTATACATACATGATGCTGTTTTGTTTATAATTGTTTAAGATAATGAGATGACAACTTAATTATATTTGGTTTATAAACATTATGCACTTTGTCACAGATACGCTGCATTCAAGTCTTCCTGGGACGTTCGTACGTTCGTTATGAGTTGACAAATCATAATTACGACATCAGGTGCATTCAAGTCACTTTGGTTGGAACATGATGGCAATTTAACTTTTCTACATAAAATTCAGCTTTTTAAACTCTACATCTACAAAATGATGAATAAAGATGTGCATCATTGTGTTTTTGCTTTTTTCTGTTTTTATTTCATTTTTGAAGGTGATATAAACTGAATCATTATATATTCTATGATAATTATGCAATAATAAAATATGTTGTATATGTAACCTGTATAGTTTTATTTTACATTGCAAAAAAAAATGTATTCATTTAAACAAATTTACCGTCGATACAGACACTGCATATCTATTATCTTTGGCTGCGTACATTGCATCCAACACGTTTTCTCACTGACCAACTCGGAAACTATGGGCTTAAGGAAAATTTTTCCCACTTGTAATAACAACTTTGTGGTGGCATTCATGTGCGTTCAACTCGTAAATACGATCTATCCGAAATAACTTGGAACGCACCAGCTTTAATAAGCGTGCATTTATATATTTTGCACAATGCGCCCTCTTGTGGCCTAAGGACAGAAGCCGGAAGATGTTTTCCCCTGACTAAAATTATACCTTTTAAATTAAAATATAATTTGAATATTGATAATATTTAAGTGCAAAATTAGAATTTAGTTTTCCAGCCATTTTGAAATATAGAGCTGAGTATCATCGGTAAAAACAGTGAAAGCTAACACAGTTTTTCCTGATGATATCTCCCAAGAATAAAATAAAATGTAAAGCGTGAAAAGTAAGGGTCCTAGCACTGAGCCTTGAGGCACTCCATACTGCACTTGTGATACCTCTTCATTCACTGCTACGAACTGATGTGTGTGTGTCTGACTCTCTGTGTGTTTGTGTGTGTCAGCGTCTCTGAGCGGGTGGATTTCCTGCTCTCTCTGGTGGTGGGCTCGTGTCAGCATCTCAGGAATCTGGATGGAGTGTCAGCGCTGAACTGCAGTCGCAGTGACTGGATTGTGCTGAGTGACTCCAGCAGACGTCTGTCTGTGCTGAGAGCCAGCGACACTCAGCCCATCTGGAGCCTCGGCCTCGCCTCCATACGCACGTGCGTACTCACACACACACTCACGCACACACACTCACACAAACACACACACACACACACACACACAGTGGCAGTTTGCAGTTTTTTATTTGATTTAGTTTTTATTTTTATCTTTTCCATTTTTCATTTTAATTTTAGTTGAAGTTTTTAGTAATTTTGTTGTGCATTTTTATTTATATTTTTGTACATTTTTGCTGTTTTTTTATTTTAATTGATTTTTTATTATATTTTCCATTTAATTTTGTAATTTTAGTAAAAGTTTTCTGTTGTGTGTTTTTGTAGTTTTATTAATAGTTTAAATTATTTTGTATTGATTTTCCGTTTTTATTTTAATTTGAGTTGAAGTTTTAGTAATCCCTTTGCATGTTTTTAGTAATATTTAAAATTATTTTTTATTTTAATATTTCTGTGTTAATTTTGAGTTAGTTTCAGTAATCTCTTTGCACATTTTTTGTAATATTTGAAAGCATTTTTTTGTATTTTCATATTTTTCCATTTACATTATAACAAAAATTAGAAATGAAACTGACATAAGAGTAATTTTAAATTTTAAGTATTTTTTAATTTAAATGTTTTAGTTATCTTTATTTAACAAGAATAATCCCATTAGCAGGTAATGAGTTGAAAACACAAGTTTGTGTGTGTGTTTGCAGTCGTCTGGCGGCGGGTCACTTCAACAATGACGGCGTTCCTGATCTGCTCGTTCATCAGTCGGCCAATGGTGTGAGGAAGGTGGGCATCTCATGATCATCTCATTATGCGGCTGGGTGGGCGTGGCATCTCATGACATTATGTGGCTGGGTGGGCGTGGCATCTCATGATCATCTCATTATGTGGTTGGGTGGGCGTGGCATCTCATGATCATCTCATTATGCGGCTGGGCAGGCGTGGCATCTCATCATCTCATTATGCGGCTGGATAGGCATGGCACTCAGTGTCCGTATGACCTGCAGGTGCAGATCGTGGACGGCGCGCGGGGGCGGAGCCTGTGGGAGGCAGAATTTGTGTGTCCTCGTCTGGCAGTGGAGGATTCGTCGGTCCTGACAGCTACCGGCCAATCGGTGTTCCTCTTCTGGGCGGGAGATCCGCTGGCGCAGCCGCAGAACGTCTCCAAGGCAACGCCCCTCTGCAGATCACATGACTGGTGCTGCGGTGCATGTGCTCAGAGCGGCGTCTCATCGGCTGTGTTTGTGTCCCGCAGGTGGCAGAGCCGGTCCTCCGCAAGCTCTTCCTGCTCCACCCGAACTATCCCACAATCCTCCTGGAGCTCAGCAGCACCACAGACACCATCCTCAGCGCCGCCGGTGAGCTACACACTCACACTGGCCAATCAGAGCCTGCCTCCAGGTCACGTGACGTAAACACTGTAACCAACAGAGCACTCAGTATTCTGGGAAGTTTGTGTGCATTGTGAATCACATTTTTTGCGCTGTTAAAATAACAGTCCCGCCTCGAACGCATCGGCCAAACAGAACAACTTATCGGCCGATGCCGATATTTGAAAAATGTCAAATACCACTAGTCTTTACTGTCTTTTTTTCAAGTGTTTCAATAGTTTCTTTAAAGTTCCCATGAAATCAAAATTAAAGTTTTTTGGGTGTTAGTATCAATATAGGGCCTTTTGCACCGCTTTAGTTCCAGAACTAAATGTACAGTACTAAAGTACTGGGACGATTTTGCGGGAACTATTTCCCAGTGTGTACTAGGAAGTGATGTAAGCCGGTCGACAGCGACGTCATTTGTGCGCAGCGTTCAACAACAGAAACAAAGAAAGGTTCCCGCGGTGCGAAAGGCCCTTATGTTAGTTTTAAGGTTATCTGTAAGGCAGTGTGCTCTAAAGCAGTGACAAAATTCGCATTTAGAAGATATGAGCATTCAAAGCTTGCAGTTCGTCACTTCCGATTTTTTTGACGTCACATCGTACTTCATCTTCTCATCAAATCTTCTGACCAATCAAACGCTCTCTAGAAGCCGAAGCGCCCGCCCCCTGCACTATAAAATAGACGCTGACGCTGAAATCGGTCGCTTGTTCACAGTGTAGTATTCCCTGTACAGTGAATGGCACGTAGTGCACAATGTAGGCGATAGGGAACGATTCAGATAGTGTAAACATGTTTTCAGTTGGTGCAAATGAGGTCTGGTTTCACGTTGTTTCACGTGAACCGCGGAAGCGTGCACAGTCTGATCCGGACTTTGGCTCCGCGATCGCTCGGAGCGGATCATATGCACGAGTCGGCATATATTAAACACTTTTAAAACTACACAGCCTCGGCATGATTATGATCACTATGTCAAATGTGGCTTTACCGAGCTTAACGGCTCTGGCCCAAACAGATTAAATTTAAGGGGGCGGGGCTGCCCGATATGTCCCGCCCTCTCTTCCTGTTTCAGTTGAAATTACGTCACCACATAGAATAAGGCAGCGTGTTTCAAGGCACTTCAGGGGACCTTTAAACTATAATAAGGACTGACTACAGAATCAAGAAGTTCCCATCTAAAATATAATTTTACAGATTTATTTTTAAATTTAGAAATGTCTGAATGTGTTTTTTCTATTTCTATTAGAAATAAATTTCTAATTATTTTAGTAAAGATTTTTTTTATTTTTATGAATTCTACTATTGTGTGTGTGTGTGTGTGTGTGTGTCTGTGTGTGTCTGTGTCTGT